TAAACATAACTCCAACGAAAAATTGTAGAAAGGAAAGAGGTATAAACGGGGAATAGGAGCACAAACGCGGAATACCGCATGATATGACTTCGCAGGTGCTACTCTGTAGCGGAAAGCACTCGAAATGGAGTCAATACAACTTTGTCCATTGTTGCACAAGTGGTAGAAATTTTACCTTTTGTGAGACGTATAAAACGTTTGTTGTTAACCACAAACTATTGTGTAAGATCCAAATGGCTATCTTTAAGAATGGTGTATATGTTTTAGTTTGAAGCTTGGCTATTGAGGGGAACAACCATGTATTTATGGTCTGGTCTCCACATGTGCTCTGCCTGTTTTGAGATTCCGAGTGCCAAGATGGAGGATTTACAAATATGGAATACATCGGTATTCTAGAAAAGACTGGACGTTGCAATCAAGATGCAGAGTACCTATTCTACTCTGGAAAGTTTTCAGCAAACACTAGAGGGAACAATGGATTACGTGTGAAATGTGCGAGAAGTGGTCAGGAGGAGACCGCGCCACTTATGACAAAGGGCGTTACGTTTGTAATTACCGCAAATGAAAATCTCTGTTGTACAGTATTGTGCCATTTTTTCCATTGTTCTCAGTTTTCAAGCAGATAGAACATGTCAGTTTGTGATTTGAACTAATTATTTAGCATTTATTGCATATTATTGATGGTATTACATAATTACACCCTATTTTCTAAATAAGAAAGAATACATTTTCTACAAAAACAATGTTTTTTAATCACCTCGAGTTGTATTACGCATTTGGCATCTCATCGGCGATTACAGAATTAAAAATCCTTCTCATTGTGCAACATTTTACAATTGTTTTTTCCTTTACGAAGTTGCAACACAAAACGAAATAGTATTCCATATTTGTACTTTTTTCTCTAACGATGCATCATCGTTCAATCAGAACTAATAATCCGGGAAGCAGAAAAGATATTATTAATTTTTGACTTGGTTTAATACATAAAAATTAACAAGTCGTAATGTAATTCTCAAACTTTTGTCAAACCCTCAAAGACCATAAAGTGAATACTGGGCTGTGGAAAACAGAAATTACTGACATCGTTCGTGTCTGCCTAAATACATTTCTCCCAGAAGTGAGCAGCGCTTTAAATTAGTGTTGCTTGATCTTAATGACATCCTCTTGTTTGCTATATCTTCATTGACCTACTAAATTATTATGATGACTGTACTTACCATCGCCAGATAAATTTAGGTGAGCTCTTTTCCCGCACGCGCTTTCTGAGTAATTTATAACGCGAGTGTCAAAAGGCGCCACTGAATCACCGAACAGATGTAAAGATACTTCATACCATCGCTTAGACTGACATTAATTGTCGGAGAGAGGTCAGGAATTTCAAGACCTTCCTGCTCAGCGCTATCGACGCCCGTTGTAAGTGTACGTCACCCGCGTGATTGTGAGTACGATTTCATTACCAGAACTCTAAGAACTGATTACGGCAGTGTTATAAATATCCCAATTCTCTACTGATTGTGTTACTTGTACTGATGAGCAAAATTTTTAAATACATGAATTTGTTTACAGAAAATGTGATGTAGAATTTTCACATCACATTACACTATTAAATGCTCAGTGATCAATTTAATCAGTTACTTTTCTGATAACGCACAGTTGTAGAGGCGCATAGCTTATTGCCAACTAGCAATTATCTTCACCGAGTATGATTTCATTGGAAAAACCAGTTGTTCATTTGTTCAAGTTATCTCTCCTCATTCAAGACCGTATCATTATTAAAATTAATTTAGCATGGAAGAGATGGGTGGTTGGGAAATTAAATTAGAACAGAAGTGAATTGTAGGATAAGTAGGGTCATCAAGCACTGTAAATTATTTTGGGCATCATGAATCATAAATTATTCTGAGATTCAAAAGGTGATTTGATTAATTTTGCGTTACAAAACGGTAAAAAATTATGTGTTTATGTGGGAGAAGTATAATCTATTTACCGTGTCCGGGAATCACAGCTATTCGCGATAGAGATTGCAAAACCAACATTTTGACTTTAGTTCTTAAAGAATTACTCAACGTCAAAATGAAAATCGCCGTAAGAAAGTCAAGGGAATTGCTCGAGGTAAGAACGAAAAAGAGGCTCAGGGATTGTATAAATAGTACATAGGACAACTGACTTGGTAGGAAATTCAGAACAGATTCGTTTAGATATTTTATAGTAGAGATGATCACTCATTCACAAAATGTAGGCAGGGCATTTTCATTTGTCAGTTGGAAATTTATTATTGGGAGTATTTATTGTTGTAAGTATTAATTTGTTGTTGAGTTACATCGAGCTGTTAGAGGATGGAACCATTTAGCGGACAGCAATGTTCAACATTCTTCTATTTGATCGTAATTTTAGAAACACATAAAAATTAGAATAGTTAGTAGTTAATTGATGAAGTAATTTAAAAAAATAAGAATTACGTATTAGCATTCAAGTTATTATATTTGTGGCATACAGTTAACTGAGATATGGGCGTATCGAATTAAAGGCTGAAATATAGAATAGGGCAGCGCTGTTTGTTGCCATGTTCATGGGTGTTGTGCGGTGTGTGTGTGTGTGTATGTGTATGTGTATGTGTAGGTGTATGTGTGCAGGTGTGTAATGGACATTATTATTAAGTAATTATTGTTGATATTTTATATTGTTATTACATTCATGAAAGTACTCACTTTAATTTATGTATTTACTCTCACCAAATTGACGCAATTCCAAATATATATTTTATCATTCATGACGTCATTCATGACGAGATAGGGCTAAGGACCAGTCATCGGCTAAGGATTTTTCGTATTGTTTTTGTTGTGCAATTGAAAACTACATTAGGTCACAACCTATCATCTGCATTATTAATTTTGAATGCACACAGAAATGAAATGAAATCTATACAGCCTCCAGCTTCACTAAGAGATGTCTATGGTTTTGCTACGTACCCAGAAACTCGGGAAAAATATAAAACAAGGAAAAAGTTGATTTTGACTGAAAAATGGAAATACTTGATTGTATTAATCCACATAATCACATAATACGACTTAATTCTCTTACTCAGTGTCCCGCTGTTTACCGACGTCAGGCGTCAGCAAAGCTCCAAAAGAGGGCCCGCCCGCCATGAATATTTGATATTCCCGTGCGTTATGGAACAGCAACTTGTTTTTTAATGTTCAGATGTTTTTAAGAAACACCGATATTGTTCTAAGGAACAATTTTTTTGACGACCGTTGATGAGAGACTGACAAGTGTCGGAAATGCTGCAAGTATTGTAACACAACAACCGCGGTATCCGAATGAAGTAGAAGAAATTACACTGTTAATTAAACAGAGTTTATTCACTTGAAAGGGTTTGAACAGTAGCTAGATACTATCGCAATGAACCTTCCACTATTCGTGAATATTAATTTTTCGATTGGGCCTCATTGTGTCTGAACTTGTTACTGCTCCAACCCTTCAAAAATATGTACAATTCATATTCGTAAAGTAACATGATAACGTACACTTTCAATAAAATCAAAATATTAACTTTTGCAATATCATTTCTGTATAAATGTAAATAACTTATATCAAAAATATCGTAAAAAATATTTAATTTGTACCTTCTCGTCACAAAGGATGCAGAGAAATTCTCATTGCAGGACCCTGATAACGAAAATTTGAATACATCTAGTTGCTAAATTTATAAACAAATCTTCTAACACTTAGTGTAGCCATAATCCATGTTTTGTGGGACCTTGACATCGAAAAATAGAATGTCGGCAAAACGTCTTTCTATGTGTCCGCCCGTTTTTCTGCCCGACTATTAACAACGCTAGCGGCTACACCGTTAAGCCAATTTACTCCAAAATTAATATCTTCCAATCGATCTGGCTGATGTAGCAGCCACTTGAACTTGAAACCGATTTTTTTTTACAAGATGGTCCATTTTTCAAATAAAAAATCGTTCTATTGTTTTTTATAAATTTTGTTGTTGGATAGTCTGAAAGACGTTTATGAGAATTATGCAGGTCTCATTTTCGTTAAAAACCTTAATTTTCGAAAATGCCAAAAATTCAATATTTTTCGGCGTCTTCCTATTACATTGCCTGCAATTATGAAAATTGAGATTTTTCCTTAATGAAATCTGTTCCTTAAAGATATATTTTAAAGTAAGTTCATGTACAATTTTTCGAAAATTTGAGTACTTTTCGCGTACTTTTGCGTGAAACTACGGATGAGAAAATACGCGCTGTTTTAGCACCAATAGTTTACATAAGGAATAGGCTTTTTTACAATTTTTTGCCGCTCAAACCACTCCGCCTTAGGCCTGGATCAAATGGATCCGTACGTCAACCTGGCGCAGCGTATGACGCATGAGCTCGTCTGAGACCTTTCACTTTCTGCGCACGTCGCTCTGTGGCTCGCAGAAGTGTCATGAGATACTCAGGTGAGCCGCCTCTGGTGCTGTCGTACGACCTACTTTTACTAGGAAAGCATTCAAGTTATTATATTTGTGGCATACAGTTAACTGAGATATGGGCGTATCGAATTAAATGCTGAAATATGGAATAGGGCTGTGCTGTTTGTTGCCAGGTTCATGGGTGTTGTGCGGTGTGTATGTGTGTGCAGTGATGTCTGATGTGGTGTGAAGTGCGGCCTTCTGTGATGTGATAGACTATTTGAATAAAAGTAGATTTCCTGGAACTACATGACCCAAGAGCAAGTATGTACGTATAGTTCAGGAGATAAAGCCACTAAACCATCTATTATTCCCCCATAAATCGTAAGCACTTATCACAAAACTGTTCCCTGTACAAGTTTACATGTACAGGCATTCGGTATACGGACAATATGGAACCCGTCACCTGACGAAATCACGTACCTTCGGTTTTGGATCACAGTCAGTCGTGACTATTGAGTCGGGTAAACGGAAAGGAAAACTCCATTACTCGTAATGTGTTACGTATATTTTTTAGATTCCGTGATAAACTTACCTAGAGGGATTTCCGAAATTCCATTCTCGGCGAGGTCAACGCGCCGCAACCGACTGAGCGTTGGCAGGAGATCCGCACCCGGGTTGCCCCAACTTTCCCCTCCGTGCACCTCCAGCTCTTCCAAGAAAGCCTCCGGCTTCAGCCGCTGCAGCCAAAACTTCGCGAGGTTCACGTACGCCGGCTCGAAGAGCATCGACAAGCCAAAGGCGCGGTTTAAGTACAACCTCGCCACTGAGATGTCCTTTTTGTACTGGAAGATCCATACTTCAGGTTTACAGCCTCTGCAACACAGCGGATACTATTTAACCCTCCATGTGCAAATCCTCAATGCAGTTGCCATGTGCAAAGCTTTAAAAATTCAAAATTTACTATTCAAAAGCTCTAATTAATGATGTGAGATGTTTGTTACGAATTTAACAGTAAACGCTTCTCCTTCTTGTAACACAAATTGATATTTTCTAGCAAGAAGTGATGAAAATGCTAAGTTATTAAATTTTCAGCAACATATATTCTAATTTTATCACGAAACTATCACGAAACTCATTATTTTACTTACGTGGAATCATTATATTTGTTTCTACCAAAAGTATTCTAAAATTTAATTAAAATGATTTTTTTCATGGATTTAATATGGAATGTAACTAATACTAATAAATAATTATAATAACTAGCTTAAGCAATTTACAAACGCAAGTACATATGACGATAAATGTATATGAATATGATATTTGTATATGAATGTTAATGTATCGAAGATGAGGATTTGAATAAAAAGGTAGATTCATTAACAATATATTGTAACATACTAGTATATTAATTTCAATATTCGTTCATAACAATATCTCTAGAATGCAAACTTGTTTTTCAAACTCGCTAACTAAATAGATTTGATCTTCCGTTCACGAGTTACCAAAACAATTGGTTCTGCTAATGGTTTTGAGAATTGTAACTTTACATATCTGTACGTGAATTCCTGAAAACGTTTGTTAGGATCATTCGACCTTCAATGTCACTCTCGTCCTAATGTCACAAGTGAAACTCTTGCTGTCTCAACTTATTGACACGTGGTAACAGTCTACTTAGCATTGAATCTTTCCTACTACTTTACGAAAAGCTAATGTTGTTTTCTAGGCATGCCGTGTATTTACTGCACACAGTCATATTGCTATAGTACTATTCTACTTAGAAGAAACATCGACATGAAAAGTTGACTTTTACAAAATAACAGTTGTTAACCCTTCGACTCTTGTTTCTCAAATGCTTAGGTGGACTCTGTTTGAAACTAAACGTTTAACACAATAATTTACAAGTATTTGATGCAGGAATGTTATTTGGAATTATTAATTGAGAAAACGATGCTTTATTTATTTGCTTTATTTTCTCTATTGTACTAAATAACAAAGAATAATGTTATTTCTAGAAAAAAAACCTTTTACATATCCTCATTACTATACATACGTGTCTATCTTACTAGCATGAGCATGTTTGAAACTGGTCTATCTAATCGTACTAGATAAATACACCAAATTATCACTTATTATCACAATTATCAGAAAAACCGAAACATGTTACAAAACGAAAATGGACACGTTTTTAGAATTGTTCATGTAATTTAGAGGCTTAATGTGGCATTTTTGCTCCAATTGCATAAAAACAAATTATTTCCCGCGAAGAAACAAGCTTAAAAAACTGAAAAGAGTACAACCTAAGCAAAACTGGACGTAAATAGCATATCTAAAAGGAAAAGTTCACGTAATTTTTGGGTCAAAAAAGACAAAACCAAACACAGTCTAAGGGTCATGTTTCTGAGATTAGTTCTGAACCAGGCTTGCCGTTGACTCAGTAACAATTCTGACCAGGTTCTAGGATTGAAGTGCCAACCTAAGTAAATATTCTGGCTAGTTCGAATTCAGTCACCGTCTGGAGGTGAATTCAAGCGGCCAGTTACTCTCATCGCTAGATTCCGTGTTTCCCACAACCAGGTATCTCCTACCAGCGGGGCACCGACCCACCAGGGACCAATTCCAAGCACCCGACCAGTCTCTTGTCGTGTGGCAGTATAATGGGTTTAAGGGGTGAGGAGAGAACAAAGAAAAGGAAGGAAATATCGCGCGCGGTCGGTGGCGTGTTTGATAGAATAGTACATCGGCACTGGTGTTGTGCGGAGAAATCATGGGATCAGAGCAGCCGGCATTTAGAATACTCCTCCAGACACTGGCTGAAGTCGACCTAGCTCTCTACCTAATGTCGAAAATCCTGCCACTGTCGTGACACATACCATAGGTCTTCTCGGCCAGTCTCTGCAGTGACAACAATTGGCTCCCACCTGAGCCACTTTAGCCGGTTTCAGCGGGGAAGGAATCACCACTACCTCCAGGAATAAAACATCCACAACATTAACGGGACTAATGATCATTACAATTCACGGGACAGTTCACAGGAAAAAAACAATCCTTGAAATCGTCTGCGAGGCGTGGGTGGAGAGAATGAGGGAGAGGAGTACCTGCAAGGGTCCTTGTTGAGCAGTTCCCGTGAGAGCAGGGCTTGGGGTACCTGCAGGGGTTCTTGGTGAGCGGTTCCTGTCTCAGGGGGCAAGGCGTACCTGCAGGGGTCTTTGTTGAGTAGACCGCATGGGAGGGGAGAGGAGCGAGGCGTCCTGCAGGGATCCTTGTTGAGTAGGCCGCGTGGGAGTGGAGGGGGCGAGCGTACCTGCAGAGTACTTTTTTGAGTTAACCGCATGGGAGGGGAAGGGGTGGGAGCAGTACCTGCAGGGGTCCTTGGTGAGCGGATTCCGTGGGAGGGGGCGAGGTGTACCTGCAGGGATCCTTGCTGAGTAGACCGTGTGGGAGGGAAGGGGTGCGAGCATACCTACAGAGTGTCTTTTTCAGTAGACAGCGTGGGAGGGGAGAGGGGCGAGGCGTACCTGCAGGGGTCATTGGTGAGCAGGCCGCACGGGAGGGGAGGGGTGGGGACAGTACCTGCAGGGGTCCTTGTTGAGCGGTTTCCTTGGGAGGGGGCGAGGCATACTTGCAGGGGTCCTTGTTGAGTAGACCGTGTGGGAGGGAAGGGGTGCGAGCATACCTACAGAGTGCCTTGTTAAGTGACAGCGTTGGAGGGGAGAGGGGCGAGGAGTACCTACAGGGGTCCTTGTTGTGGAGGCCGCGCGGGAGGGGAGGGGGGCAGTACCTGCAGGGGTCCTTGTTGAGCAGGCCGCGCGGGCCGATGGCGTCGTGGCGCAGGCGCAGCGCCACCTGGCGGAAGCCGTGGGACAGCACCACGGTGAGCGTCTGCTTGTCGCGCTCGCTGCGCAGCGTCTCCAGCAGCGGGTCATCGCGCAGCACCGACCCGCTCAGGTCGCCCAGCGCCTCGCTGCGCACCACCGTATACGACACCGGGTACAGGCACAGCCGGCCGCTCGGCGTGCGCTGGCCCGGCAGCGCTTGGAACTTGCCGCTGCGAACACGGCAAGCAGTGCGCTCGCTTACCTTTCAAAACGTCATGTACAAGGTTTTGTGTTTTGTGTTGGTTACATAGATGTTGTTAGTGATCTCTATGTTTTACACCTCCGAATATTTCGGGAAAGGTATTAGTAGCAAAAAAATCGTAATTTTTCTTCTTTTTTTCTGAATATCTTTTTAATGTTTTATGATAACTAAAAAAATTCAAAAGGTGCGGTACAAGAGTTTATTTTTTATGTTGTTTATATTGATGTTGTTAAGATAATCCTATGTTTTCCATCTCGAATTATACGAGAAAAAGATTTAATAGTCAAAATTTTAACCTAAAAATGTACCGATATTTGTTGTTACTACGTTTCAAAGCTTCACTACGTTTCCCAGTTTTTTCCAAAGTTGTTCGAAGTTACTCAATGCCACTAATGTAGTATTTTTGAGTTACAGGGGTTGTTATAGATAAATAGCTAAGGTGGGCTATTTATGTATAATGAATTCCAGCGAATTATTTAAGTAATGGTTCGCAAGAATTACAGCTCTTTTTTAGGAAAAAGAATCGTGTGTACTTCCCCTTGGTTCAATAAGACACTTTTCACGCAAATTTAAAGGTTTACTTTTGACTTACCAAATATATTATTATTATTATTATTATTATTAATAATAATAATAATAATATTGCAATTGTTAGTGTTATTATTAATTATTGTATGAGTAAGCAAAAACTCCATCGGTGCATGGCAAACACCTGCATTCACTATCCTCTCACAAACAGTGAGCAGTCTCAGTAGCTTGAAGAAATGTTAATTTAATACGTAAACGCAGTTGTCAAAAGCTGTATCCATATTAATAATACCCACTGTGTGCAGAAATAGAAAAAAAACTATGCAACCTTCGGGGGTGTCTGTGATTCTGTTAGATATCTAGAAACAAGGGGAAAATCCAAAAAGAATGAAACCGTTGATTTTATCAGACGAATGCAAATATTTGATTCATTTATTCCATCTGTTTCTGCCTTAATTCATGCGTCAGCAAGGCACCAAAATATTCGACATTTTTGCCTACCGGATGCATCTCACATTTTGATTTCTTCCTGCCAGCTCAGCGGCTGTCTTCGGCAACATATCCGCAGCTTACACATGTGAAAACCGGCGGAAGCACTAATCGTATTATTGTGTTTACTCTTGTTTGTTTATTCTTGGAAAACTTTGAAATAGTTCAAGAAAAACTGAGAGAATAATGTAACGGAGAGGGATAAAGACATTAGATTAGGGCTCCAAACAATATCAAAACGAGTAGTATCCTAGTAATATAAAAATTATATTAACAAACCAATAAACACTGGATGAAATCTTTACAAGAAAAAGGAGGAAAGGAAACACACAATGAAGAAAAGTGAACCGGCAATGTTGAAGTCAGTTTTCCACATTTCAGGGCATCACCCGGAGATTTCGAATTAAAGTAATTATTCCTCGGAGATTCCAGATTAATATTAAAGTAATCTGATGTTGCGATAAAGTTACGTTAAAAATATAATTTCAGAAACCATACAAAGAAAGTCTTAGTGACAGCTAAAATAATCTTGAATTTCACATTTATAAATTAATTATGCGAACAATACAAAATTATTTTATTAATTAACCATTGTTAATGAAATGACAACTCTGAAACATGTCTAGCGAATTGAAGTCATTTCTTGAAAGATTATTTAATAAAATATCCTATCAAGTCGAAAATTAATACCATTTATACCATTATGGCCAAGAGCCATAAATAATGCGTAACCCACATAATTACTTAATTATTAAGTTTGCACAAAATGATTTGAATATTAATGTTTTTCTGTCTGTTAGCATGTCGACTCAGCTTTTGATGAAAGAGATTACACCCATTACTAAGGCTAGGTAAATGTTAAAAATGTATTAGAGAGGAATAATTCGTTGTTTTATACTATAAACGTTAATCTTAATTTGAAATATTTTCTCTTTCCCCTCCCCCACTTTCGAATATCTCGGTGTCTTCGATTTTCAAATAGTGGCAAGTCTTCCTTGTCGGGCACTCACATAATAGAAAAGAGGGTGTGAGAAGAGAAGAGAGGCAGACTTTAAAGGACCTGAAGCAGACAAAAGGAGTAGTAGTAACAAATAGTTATGGAAGAAGAAGGAGAAGAATTCAAAGGTTATTAGCTGATTAGGTCGTTGACTTCCTGAACAATTTGAACAATTTGTGTGTAACTGTGTGTGTAATGCTACATGAGTGGGTGAGGGTGCCGATATTTTAGGGCCTCGTAGTAGATTTTTTTCCGTCCATCGCTGGGTGTTCTCTTTCGCCTCAGATCCGATTCTCGTCGATTCAAAGAGGGACCGACCAACCGTTTCAGTCCCGGCCGCCGCGTCCCAAAGCCAAGCGATACGACCCAGAGGCGATCCACAGACCGGTGGATAATGAGTAAGCGGATGTAAATATACCAACAAGCCACTGTGAGTGATGATAATCAGCACACTGCGTGCCTGAGGTGTGAGTCTCTCTCGCTCACGGAGCGGTGACACTTTTCCTTTTCGGCGTAATTATTCTCCTCCTTTCTTTTTCCTCAGATTGTATGTAGTGCTTCTGTTTTCATTGAAATCTCATTTTCTTGTACCGCCAAGTCAAATATTATTATATTTACTCATATTAGTATAATGCTAGATAACTTGCAAGTGCTTTTCTTGTAAAAATATTTTTTGTTGGACTTACAAGTTATACTTTACATATTTACTTTTTCCTAATTTATTTTTACTTCCTCGCCTTACGAAGTACTTTATAAGAAGAAAAAGTAATGTAATCGTGCGCCGGGAAACGGTGTTTTTTTTCTTTAGCGATCAAATTATTGCTTAAATAATAACTCGAGAGCCTAAACAATAAATTATTGAGTACATGCCAATAGAGAAAAGGTTTATACCACTTTAAAAATAGTGTCTCCCACTAAGTTACGAGTAATCTATATAATTATGCAACTGTTTACAACTGCATGTGTCATAAAAATTATAACAACTGAAGAAATTGCTTACAAATTTGGCACGAATACTTTTGAGTGATCAAGAATCAAACATAGTGTAGTTGTGACTCAAAATGTTATCCCAAATATCCGTTTTTTTGAAAAAGTACAAAATTAATAATCCCAATCTCGTTTTGTATTTGTTTCCTTACAGAAAGCGACTCGCTTGAGGTCTGCGAGTCAAGTTTACTTACTACTGTTATTTAAAAAAGCGGGGCCCGGGCAGACAGTCTCTTGATTAAGTTGTTAAGCAATGCGGTAAAGGTTGCTTCAATGCTTTCTGAGTATTTTAATATAGTTGTTTAGAGATGCAGCAATAACTAATCGCATGATATGCAACTTCTTCGTTGTAGAAGCTTTTCACTTTCGAAGGGAGTACATTTTGATCGTCTCTAGGTATTTGTTTCCTTTGACGAGCCCAAAACACTCAACACGAGCGGGAAGGCAAACGCCGAATGTTAAGCGTTCGGAGAACGGTAACCAAATGTCATGCGGCGTCCTGTCGCTCGCTCCTCGCCGAGTGGGTGGCGCCGCCTTTGGATTGCATCGGCCGTCCATTGGCTGCAACACGGCCATTTAACCTTTCATATGAGGAGGCCGTTCGGCGTTCCTTTCAAGACATGATTATTACGGGTTCCGAATTGCAACGACACAGTACATTACTATCGACTATTCCACCCGTGAAATTAAAATCAATATCGTTTAACTATGCATACATAATATCCCAATCAGGGCTGTGTATCTCAAAAAAATTATCGCTTTTTCTATACGATTTTTCTTTCCGCTTCTCCCTACTGGCCAATCATAAACTGTGACTCATCTATCTGAGGGGGCGGTATACTACATCGATCGCTGTGTCGCGTGGAATTTGAACATGGCTTTTTGTTATTTTCAATATTTGGCGCATTTTGGAACTCTGTTGGACGTAATTTCACTCGTTGAATAGTCCTATTAAATGCCACTCGTGCTTTAGAAATTCTCAGATAAATCCCCTCCTCGCTTCGCGAATCGGGAATTAATCGACAATTTCCAAAGCAGCTATGATAAATTAGCGTCATGGGCTGATCTTGTGGATTTGCACATTTGTTTTACATTTCGTATTTGTTTCGTATGGCTTTTAATTTAAACAATACTAATGCAAACTTCTATACAAATAAAAATGAAAGTGAGTTATAACGGGTAACTATTAAATGGCTAGGCTGATTTTAATTATTGAATCAAGTACCCAATATAGTCTCAATATAGACAATATTACCCAATATAAACACTGACACTGTATCACTTGGTTCTCCTCCATCCATGTGCAATGATTCTTAGACAAAGTTCCACTCGAACTGATCTGCTTTATATGCTGAAGGCAGTGCTCGGATTTTGCACTTCTTAATGAATGCTCAAATTTTGTTTAATTTAGAACACATATTACATACAAGTAAAATTACGCCGACTTGAAACTTAAGAGTTGTGAAATTATGTCTCATGATTGTGACTTGATTATGTCTAATTGAGGCTATTATGTCTCAAGAAACATGTACACAGTTGTGCACTAAAAGTTTTGTGTTTGGTCTTTATCTCTTTACGGAGGGAATCCATTAAAACAAAAGGCTAATTAGCTTCCAAAAGTATAATTGGGATCCAATTCAAACAATCATGGTATAGAACAGTGAAGTTATGAACATTTTACGTAAGAACTGATTCTAACACATACCTTGCTTAACCTGACACTACCATAATCGGTCACCAGAGAAACAAATGTCACAATTTACAACAATTTAATTGCTAATCTTTACGTAAAGATTTTTTAATTATTCTTCAAACATTAATGTAATTGACTGTAAGAAATATTAAGGCTTAAGCTGGCCCCACTGCCCAACCGAATATCTCAAAAACAAATAGGCCACCAAGTAGAACGATTTAATTGCGAATTAATTACGTAAATATTATTTTAATTACCCTTTAAATATTTGAGTAATTAAATTATCACGAGTATTACCACAAACAGGCATCACAGTGTCACGTTTGGAAGCTTTGGACCGACGCAGCTTCTACCGTTTTCGCGAAATACTTAAAATCTTGAGAATTCAATTATGCTTTGTACTCTCACATGTTTTACAATAGGTGTTCCGAACGGGACAGCCCCCCTGGGGGTCGATGAAATTTTGAAAGAGTCCAATGATGATCAAGAGGTCAATGAAAGTCAATACCCAAATTATGAACCGGCACCTTATCAATGAGATCAAGTTCTCAATGACTATAAAAATATTTTAATGACCTTAATTATCTGTTTTCTGTTAAAAGGCGACGAAAAGTATAATAAAAAATTACAAATTTGCCCCTCTTCTTTTTCATCCTTATGAATGAAGGAATTAGGATGTTTAAAAAGCTCTAGAAATTTTTACAATGCGTTGGCAAGGATCGTGCAAGACAGTTGTTTCTGCAACTACCCACTGGCGAAATGTCATGGTCAGTTCCTAAAGAAACACATTTAGTAAAGATTGTATTACAATCAAGATTAGAAACTCAACAACTAAAAAGCAGAAACGTCTTCAAATATTGAAAACTACAGATATTTAAGAGAATATGGGATACAAAATTGTTATCTTTAAAGTATTTATGTGCAATTCTTTGTGTCTTGATTGTGGATGCTGAACAGAGGGCCGATGAAGCAAGCATTCTCTTAAAAGGGGTTGATGAAAGAAAAAAGATTGAGAAATCATATTTTACAGTTTCTATTCACTGCACGGAGTTATTACGCTACCTATTAGTTTAAATGAATTTATAAAGTATGTGAATTTACGTACCTAAGTATCATTTGTACACATCGTCTATAGTTACTCTTTAATAATTGGTCTCCTCCATAATTTTTGCAGAAGGTACAATTTATGAAGAAACAAGCGTATTAAACCTGGCATTGCATGAGCATTTATTTATCACAATCATGTGTTAGCTGATGTACAATATATAGCATTGCCGTGATTTTGCGTAAAGATGATTAACATTAACTCGAACTATTGTTATAACAGCACGGACTTTCTCCTCCGTATTTTCACGTAAAATAACACGAAAAGTACTGAAATTTTTGAAAACATCACCTTATTTCAAAATCTAGCTTTAAGAAACAGATGTTATTAAGAAAAAAATGTCTATCTTTAATATTTTACTTGTTGGAAGATCCCGAAAACATTGAAGTGTTCCAGGAGCTTCATGTAAAGTACCTCCCAAAAATAAAATATCAGTTTCAATTTCAAGGGTCCGTGACATCAGGCAGATCAATTAGAAAATATCAATTTGGGAGAAAATCGGCTGAACAGTTTAGCCTCTAGCAATGTTCACATACGGACGGACAGATGGTTTGTTGTCAATTCACTTTTTGGTGTCAAGGACCCACAAAACATGGATTCTGGCTGCACCACGTGTTAGAAAAAAAAGCTAAATTTAGCAACTGATTTTATCCACTTTTTCGTCACCAGGTCCCTGCAATAAGAGTTTTTCTGCTGAAAATTCGTCGTTTTTTTCGCACAGCATTACATAACTTTCGATCTACCGCGGAAGCGGAAGCGAGATCGTAAAAACGCTATCGCGATTCGCGCCTCACTCACCTGTTGGAGATGAGCGCGGTGATGTTCTGGTTGTCGCCGTTGACGGCGGCCACCAGATCGCAGCGGACGAGAGGCAGGTCCCCGCCGGCGCCGTCCCACTCGTAGGTGCAGCGCGAAGGGTTGGCCGGGCCGGACAGCTCGTCTGCCCGCGCGCACGCCAGGTGCCGGTCCAGCAGGTCGAACTGCGGCGGCGCGGAGGCGGCCGCGGCGGCGGCGGTGGCGGTGGCGGTGGCGGTGGTGGCGGCCGTCGAACCCGCGGCGTCGCTGCTGCCCTCGATCATGGCCACACCCAATGCGTGAAGCACGGCCCCCGGCGCTGATGATGGCATGGGCACCAGGGGGTCGGTTGACGATGAGTTGGAGTTTGGACCGTTGTCGTGACTTTGGATCATCGCCACGCCCAGTGCATGAATATCTCTCCCCGGGGCGGCTGTTGACATAAGCATCGTTAGGTCGCTTGCGGAGGTGTTTGGTTTTCCGCCGTGGTTGTTGCCTTCCGTTACTGCCACGCCCATTCCACGAGTGATGTTATTTGGTGCTGATGTTGGGATGGGAATAGAATGATCGCTTGGGGAAGAGTTCGGTTTTGCATCGCTGTTTCTGAGTGTCTCGCCCATTCCATGTGTCATGTTATTCGGTGCTATTGTGGACGTGGACACCGGGTGCCCGTGTGGGGGAGATTTTGGATATATCTGAGTCCCCTTTTCCGTGTGTTCAGTATATTTCACGCCCGTGTCACGACCGCTAACATTGTCTTCGACTACATCCACGCCTATCTCATGAGTTGCGTTATCCGGTAATATCGATACAGGCACATGGTAATCGCCTGGAGAAGTTTTGGGTTTTCTCTCAGTTATCAATTCCAGCGGGTGTTTGTCTTCTGTTGTCGAATTTCTCGATTCCAACTCATGTTCATTAGGCATCAGTTCTGTCGTACTATTTCCTAAGTTCAACCGCTGTTCACTAGAAATTTCTTCAATTGTTTGAGCACTGGTTTCCAATCCAGGGCCAGTAGATGACCCTTGTGTTATTGTGTCTCTTGATTCCGATTCATCTTCACTATTTAACTCTTCGATTGTTCCACTTTCCATTTCCAAATCTGGCTGGGTGAGATTTGTCGAAACGAAACTCCTTGATTCCAACGCCTTTCCATTTCGCGTTTTGTCCGGTTTGCTCGAGTACTCCACTTTTGGTGCTTTCATATCACCATCAATCAGTTCACTTAAAGGTGTCTCTTCTGTAACTCTATTCAAAGGCTCCGTTTCCTGTACTGTTAGCTGCGTTGCAGGATATCGCACTTCTAATCTTTCGCTAGTTACTTCTTTGGCTAAATTCGATTTTCCCGCAGTCGTTGACGGGCGTTCTATTACAATTTTTTGCTCCGTCGACGCTTGAGATAACATTTCCTCCACGTTCGCGAAGGTCGTTCTAGCTGGGCTGTGCGGGGTTTTAATACTATCAGTTGGCAGGGGGTTTTCCGTAATGGAAAAATTTAATGGCAAAGTTGAAGTTAATTCATTGGTCACTTTTGACCCTTCCGTACTGACAGATATCTCTGGTGAAAGAACAGTACTATTCCGTACTGATGAATTGTGATAAATGGTGACATTTGAGTTAGAAGTGAATGGTTCGTGACGCGCATTTATTGTTTTGAGAGAAATACTTAGATCTGAATTCTTTGAAACTTCTAGCCCCTCATCTACTACTGTTCCACTTATATCACGTACGGCGGTCCGTTCGGTTAAGCCTTCATTTGCTTCACTTGCCTCCGTTGAGGTATACATCTCAGTTCCGTTAGGTGTCGACATGACATAGTCGTTGTTTGGAACATATTTCATTCTTTCATGATATGTGTCATGCAGTTCAGGCATTTCTGGTTGAAGATGTAATTGTGTCATGTCACTTGCATCTGTTTCTGTACTTCCTGATTTGTTCAAGACTTCCTCCTTTACAACTGTTCCACTAATATCATGTTCGGTGCTCCAGTCGGTTAGGCTTCCATTTACTTCACTTGCCTCCGTTGAGGTATACATCTCAGTTCCATTAGGCGTCAACATGACATAGTCATTACTAGGAACATATTTTATTAATGTGTCATGCAACTGAAGCCTTTCTGGATGAAGATGTCCTGATTGATCTTCCTCTTCGTTCGTTGGAATAAGTTTAGGAACATTCGGAGGTAATGTGGAATATCCATAACTCGGTTCTCTCGAATCTTGAGTACTTTTGACAGAACTACTTTCAGTTTCTTCAGTCTTCTGAAAATAATCATCGATTTTCACTCTAGTTTCTGATTTACTATTCACTTCTAGATCGCCTTGTACCGTGCTTCCTGTCACAACCTGATTTTCAATTTTCCCGACTTCCTCTTGGATGTTTTCAGTATTACTAACATGTATCTCACCTTTTGTTACGCTGTCATCTGGTAGAAAGTCTGATGCTATTTTGACTCTATCATCACGATTCTTAGCTGCATTTTGCCAGTTCCATTCAATCTTTACACTGCCATCAACAGCACTTACGCTACGTACACTTCTCACTTTATCCCTCATTTCATAGTCCATCATTTGCACAGTCCCCTCTGCATCTGAATAATTGTTGTCTCTTGAAGTGTGTATATGTCCTATTACGGTTGTAATAGATTTATTCACTAACTTCTCTAATACTTGATAAAATTTTATCTCACTGCGATTAATGGGAGGAACGGTTCTTTTTGCACTAACCGTAAAATTACGTTTAACTTGGTCTTTTATTTCTGCGACTAGTTTTGCTTCATTATACGATTCTAAAATAGTAGTCAAATGCCGTAGATTTATTGACGCTCGTTTAGTTTTATCATTAACTGCCTCGTTATTTGTGTCATCATCAGCGCCTGGACGATCACAAGCACGGTTTACTACCTCTCTCCCTCTAATTGGAGATTTTACTCTGTGTCGCAGAACCACATCATTACTTGACCTGATTTGTGGTGTGCTCCACTTTTTACCTAAAGCTATTGTCTTAACATCGTTATTACTCGCAATTCTATTTAAGTTATTTGTTTCAAATACATTTCTCGAATTAGTCAGTCGCCAATTATTTTCACCATCGCGTTTATCATTATCTAGAACAGTTCTTTCATCAGTTTGAAGTTCTGGAAATTCTGAAGCTATAACAGAGAGCATATACTTGCGAGGGATAGTCAAATGTTCTGTTTCCAGAATATTGTATCGAGCATTTCTTTTCTGGATAATATTTTTTAATTTATCTGGTGGCTTCTTCCTTCCATCATCTTTAAAGTCTTTATTTGTATTTACGATATGTTTATTAATCCCTAACACACCTACATGTCTCATAGTTCTCGAACTCTTTTCTTGTTCAGACTCGTCACTCAGTTTCACTGAAACTTCTGGACACTCCCTACACTCAGAGGAAATCTGAATATCCTGTGGTGAGTTTCGCAAACGTTCAGAAACGTCAACAGAGCTAGCAACACTCGCAAACGAGTTAACAGTTAAACCGCTACTCGGAGGTGCGTCACTACTCAATAAACCATGCGCCACCACATCTTGCCTATTCGAATCACTTACCACATTAGGATTCATCATAACACGGGTATTTCTACCAGGGTCTTTCACATCAGCGGTCACAGATTTTCGCGTCACCACAAAAGTATGAACCGGACTGTGGGGGGTCGTCGAATCACTCTGTATTACGTCAGTTGATGCTGAAGATCCTCTCACCACACCACTATCACCCGGAATCTGCACCACACGCTCATTCGAGTTAAATACACTCCCATCGAACATCACTACCGTACGAGGTACCGCACCTTCGGTTCGTTGAACCGGTTCACGAGCGCCCGCTCCTCGCGTCACCGACTCGCGTTTCGACTCACGCGACACCGGGTCGCACATCGCAGCACCGGCCGCGCACAGCACGAGCAACGCCACCGGTCCGACAGCGGCGGCGGGGGCCGCCCGGCTGCACCGCATCGCCTCGGCCACGCCACGGCGCACGGCGACGAAGCGCACGTCCGGCGCTAGCGCTCCCCGCGGAGCCCCGCGCGCAACTGGCGGCGGCCTCCAGCAGGCACGCGAGCGCCCCGCGCCGCCGCCGCTGCCGCCGCCGCCACCGCCGCGGCTGCCGCCGGCCGCCTGAACTTTCCGCGTAGGGCTCCTCGCGGTGGGGGAAAAGCTCCCGAAAGACGGGCAAAATATACTTACGGAAAAATTATTCAAGAATAGTTGAACTTCGTATTTTTTATAGTGGTCGATGACATTACGTCATTGTTACACCTCCTGCCTTATAAAATGAATATTTTTAACCGGGGTGAGCACGTTTCTGAGGCCACGAGCCTCGTTGAGAAGAACGATAGTGGAACAATAAAAAAGGACTGATTTTATAAGGTAAGTGGCGTAAAAATGACCTAATGCCATCGGCTACTATAGAAAAATTGCAGCAGTACAGCTTTCCTTTGAAATCGTCTGTTTCTGTAGCTGTCTGGGGAACGAAAGCTCAGGCAGGCGGATTTTGTGATTGATTGATTGATTAGTGATTACGGGCACGTCAATTGCTAAGGTCATTAGTGCCGTACGTGTAGTGCATTTTTCTCGGGAGGTGGTAGTGATCTCCCCCCCCCCGATGGATGGGGAGGTCCGGTGCCGACCAACCGTTGGCTAGCGGGGTTTCCTTCAACCAGGTATCCCCCACCAGCGGGGCACCGCACCAGTCCGGACAAGCTCTTAGCTCTCGACCGGTCTGCCGGTATGTGTGGTAGTGTAGTGCGTGTTAGTGTGCGTTTGCGTGTAAGGAGCGAGGAAAGAACAAGGAAGAGGAAGGGAAATCGCGCGCGGTCCTTGCCCCGTTGGTCAGGGAGCTGCTCCGGCATTCGCTCCAACAAGCGCAGTTTCCTTCTTGCGGAGAAGGGAATACGTCATGTTTGTCGCATGTCTCTCTTACCCCCTAAACGTGGGAATGAGAGCCCAGGAGGGGGAGACATCGTTAACTAGCCGCCAAACGGTCGGACAATACTCCCGAAAATACCACATACTATTCATTCAAAAGCTTCAATGGAATCGTTAATGAAACCTTCTGCGGAAACCTACGATTGCAAAATATGAGTGTAATCGTATGTGTAGGAAAGTTATTCGAAAGGTTCAACCAAAGGTTAATTGAAATACCTGGGTATTCCGCGTTAGGTACCTAACAGTGGGGGAAGGATCCACGAAATGCGGCTAATATGTGAACTTTTCGTCGGTATGTAAGAAAACAATTCAACAGTTTTTGTATTCAAAAGTTTCAAAGAATAGCTTAAAAAAGACCTTGAAGCATCGTGTTAGGTGATTCACTGCGGAGGAAATTAATATGCAGGGATTTCCGTGATCTCTGAGTTAGAATTCAATGAATATTCACACGTTGAAATAAGCTCGTTTCCTTGAAAAATTGAACTGTCCGTACAAGACGCCAAACGGTTTGAGAAAAATCCTCAAAACACAATGAAAATACGGAACGTTCTTTAATTTTGTAAAAAGTGGTATTAGAAGATATTAGACGCGTCCAATACACGACAAAACAAATACACAACTGTAGTTTAGAACGTTTCATTTAATTTTTTTATTGAGAAGTCCTTTGCAAACTTGAACATTCAAGTTTGGGATCCCGTAATAGGAACAAGTCATAGATATATGTCCAAAACCTAAATCTATCTGTATAATATTCAGTCATTAGAATACGGTTATTATTCGGGACTTTGGTACAGAATTTAAAGCAAAATTTGTCATTTTAAAGAATTTAATGATTTTTGAAATAAAATTTGACCTTTTTATGGACAAAGCGTTTTCCGGTCAGAGACACAGGGAAGAAATTATAAATCACCGACATGGAAAACCTCTATATTCTTCGTCCCCGTGGAAGAAAACTTTCGCATTTTGCCACCGTTTGATGACTTCGCCCCACTGTTAGGCCGCGCCACCCCGCGGCGCCGTTGCTTGGCCGCGAAACGCGCGCTCGTCGAGCAGCGGCGTCGGCGTCAGAGGCGTTGCACTGCTCGGCCTCCCCGCAGCCCCGATACCGGTCCCGCTCCCGCTCCCGCACTCGCCAACTCTGCCGCATACACCTAGGCCGCCGCTGCCAAAGCTGCCACCTCCGGCCCAACCGTCGCCCTGCTCCTCCCAGCCCCGCTCCACCCAGCCCTGCCCTTCCCCGCCCCGCCCGCCATCGCTTCACCACCTGCCCCCGACAACAGCCCACCCCAAACCATCCTGTCCTTCTAGCATTGCCTCCGGCAAACTCCCACCTCCATCTCGCCATCGATTGCGTTCAGCTAGCCGACTCTGGCCGAACCTCGTTTCGCCCTGGCCCCGCCCGCCCCGCCCTGCCCAACGCCCCGCACGCGCCCCGCCCTGATCCACTCAATCTCTTACCTCTTGCCATCGCCGCAGTCACCTCTAGCAACTCCGACACGTCGACAACCTTCGCTACCGATGCCGCAGCTGCACTCTGTGCTGTTTCCGGTCCGATCCTCGCACTCGCCCTGTCCCCGCCTTACCCCACCACGCTCAGTCCCGTCCTGCTCCAACCCTCCTCTCCCACATCTCCAATTCAGCCACCACTTTCACCTTTGTCGCCACCATCGCGGTTGCCACCCGCCGCCACCTCCGATACCTGCGCCTCTGCGCCCATCTCCTTATCGTTCCCGCTCTATCACTCCTCGTCGTTTCAATTCGCCACTAGCGCCATTGCTATTGTAGACGCTGCCTATGTCTGCGCCCCACCCTCGTTCTTGCTCCCAGCAGATGGAGCGGTTTTGTCAAGGTCGGGGACGAATATGGTGGCGACGGTGATAGCACTTCCACCACCACCTTCGTCCCCGACCTTGACAAAGCCGCTCCATCTGCTATCGCTAACCGCCTCAGGTGCTATCACTCCCACCGCCAACTCCGCTTCCGCCTCTGCTCATGTTTTCGCTCCTGTCACCCGCGAAGTCTGCTCCGTCGCTCCTCCGATCAAGAATGCCGGAGCAGTACCGTAACAAACGGGCCACGGTTCGCGCGCGATATTTCTTTTCTCTTCCTTGTCTTATCCTCATCCCTTACACACCACAAACTAACATGCACTATACTACCACACATGCCGGGAGACCGGTCGGAGCTTATCCCACCTGGGACGGTTGCAGGCTAGTGAGAGATACCTGGTTGGGGAAAGCTCCGCTAGTCGACTTCTAGGGGGGAAGATCATCGCTACCTGCCGATGAAAACATGCACTACGCTTACGGAACTAATGACCTCCGTAGTTGATGCGCTCGGAATCACTAACAATCAATTAATCTGCCCCGTGCCTGATAACTCAGCCAACGCCTCCATCTTCCCCGCCATTGCCGACGTTGCCAGCTAACCGCCACTTCCGTCCTCGACCCGCTCTCACCCACGTAGCCGCCCTCCCATGGGATCCCCCCCCCCACAAGCATCACCGAGCCACTACCGCCCCAAAGCTGCCGTAGCCGCTAACCGCCGCTGCTTCTGCTGTTTCCAACGCTTGCGCAACTGCCGGCATCAATGTGTCTGTCCACGCCGCCCGCATTCCAAAATACACAGAAAACCAGACGTCACATCATTACCCTTCTTAGTGGGTTTTGGATACATCCTGCTGCCATCTTTTTCTATATATATGCGCAACCACCGCCCCTAACATCAATACTATTGAAATCACCAGGATCATCACTTTCGCAATTAGTAGTTATTGCTTCTACAGTGCTCACGTCAATCGCTCCAACTGCCATTAAATACTATCATGAGCATAAACGTGTAACAAGGCATTGTAGTCCATTTAAGCCTGTGCCTTTCAAGTCACAATAGCATTTAATGGTCAGGTACGGGAAAATTAAAGGACAAGATTTAAATGGATTACATTAAAGGAACTATTTAAACGGTATTCTTTGCTGAGTCCTCTATAAACGCCGCCATCCCCTCACTTGTAGAATAACTTGTTTCAGGGGAACCCTTCTCTCCAGGCTGCCCCATCACATTTTTTGACCCATCGACTTTCCAAGTGAGCTTTCTTCTTAGAGTCTACATAAATATTTTCCTTCTTCCAATCTTTCTATTGTGCTCTGCAACATTATTGTTCTTATTATCGCTTATTACCCGTTCTACAATTTGCTGTATTTTTACCGTTGCTGTTTTGTTTTCATAATTGTCCACTTCTGCCTTTACGACTCTTCTCGAATTTTATCTGAGTTTTTTGCGCTTGCCATAAAGAGTCCATTTTTCAACATTCCTTCATTTCTAGTCTCTGTTCTTGCGAAAACTCTTTTCAGTATGATAATTGCATTCTTTGCTGTGGAATGCTATCGACCATCTGTAGTGACGCAATTACCTACTTTTCTAGACTGTTTCCTCTTTTTAGCCATATTCCTATTTTCATTTCCTTTAATATCTACTTCCGCCGTTCTATTCTTAAAAATATCTTTCGTCTCTAAGCCACTTGTCGTTTCTTGAATATAGATGCACTTCATCATCACTTTGCACTTCTTTTTTTATTGTTCCAGTTAGAACTCTTTTCTTCATTTTATTAGCGCACCGCACGCTTTAAGCACAATTTGCTCGCAAAAGGTGATTTGCATCTGCTGCACGAGCTGCTCTTACATTGCTCTTACACTTTTGTAAACAAAATTTCGTTAAATAGTGACAAGAAACGACTAAGATAAATTGAAAAATAATTATTAGTGATTATACTTAGGCGCAACTTGTTTAAGTGATAAATAAAACAGTAAGTTTCGCTTTTTAACTTCGTTTGCATAGAGAGCATGGAAGTGTAAGAGATTACTGACCAACAGGCAGAATATGTTAGTACTTTGGAATGAATATGTCGTAGTGAATGTGGAAGTTTCAGTGAGGGTATACCATTCCTGATTATGGCTTGACCCTTTCAGTTAAAGTCCATTGTAAGTTTTCGTAACCATTCACATTCACTAAAGATGGGGCAGCATCTTGCTGGTGATATTATACTTGGATTGCTTGTGATAATATACTTCGATAACCTGATAAGGAATTGTGATAAATGTTTCAATAATAATGAAACGTAATCATTTCCCTTTTCGACTTATTGAAAGGTACATTTGCTGTAGAAATGTAGGGATTATGAAAGTTCTCGGGTCTCAGGGTGGCCCCAGTACAGTTCTGTTATCTTTAAAATAAATTCTCTTACTGCAAAATAATTT